TCACTCGTCGAGCCCTTCGTCGCAAGCGACGGGTTCGACGAGGACGGTGACCTGTGCTTGTGGTACCTAAAAGCACCGTTAATGGATCGGCAGGATCCGTAATGACGTGTTTAGGGCAACGTCGACTGTTAACCATTCGGTCTACAGGATCGGATATGTATTATATCGATACAGCCGAGGTCTCACTTCTCATTTCGCAAAGTTTAAATGGCGGTACTCTCTAGAATTCGTGCGTAAATCTAGTCGTGTATTCTGAGAGTCCTCTCACCGGTTATATACATCGGAATGTCGTCGATCACCTTGGAAAATTAAACTACAGTAATTTTTATTGAAGCGACTAAGATTTGAAGAAGCGGAGGACATTTTAGATTTTAACCTTTTTAGTGCTGAGCTTACTTTTACGTATTTTGCAGAAATTGCTAAAGGATTTAATTGAAAAAGTACTTTAGGACAAAGAAAAAAATACAGTATACTTTTTTTGTTTAGATAGGTGAGCGAGCTCACGGCCCACCTGATGTAAGTGATTACCGGAGCCCATAGACATCTACAACGTAAATGCCGCCACCCACCTTGAGACACGGTTTCACTTTTAACAGTACAACGGCTGCCCCGCCCTTCAAACCGAAATGCATTACTGGTTCACGGCAGAAATAGCCAGAGTGGTGGTACCTACCCGTGAGGACTCACAAGAGGTCCTACCATCAGTAATTACGCAAATTATAATGTTTGCGGGTTTGATTTTTATTACACTCACAGTGGAAGTCAATCGTGAACATTTAAGTAAGTACGTATTTCATTGGAAAATTTGGTACCCGCCTGCGGGATTCGAACACCGTTTCATCGCTACACACGAACGCACCGGACGTCTTATCCTTTAGGCCACGACGACTTTAATCAATGCTAAATTCACAGCAAAATAATTATAAATGGTTATTTATAAATGTTATTAACTTATTCAAAAGGTTATACATACGCGCGCTAAGCACACTTTCGTATCTATAATCAAACCACGCAAATAGTCGGTATTCAGACGTGCCGCACTTTATACGCTTTAATAGTGCGTCGGTCTATCGACGGTTCGCGTTTTGAGGGTTAACTATTTGCGTAAACTCTTAAAAGTCCCTGAATATGACAATCGAATGAACGTCGCAGTTTAGTGGCATCCGATTTTTTTTTTAAACCTACGCTGATGGTCTAGGGAGATCATGTCAGCGTCACCGGGCTAGTAGGTGAGCTCACCGGGATTAAACCTGACGATGTTGCTAACACGAACCCTAGCAAGAGCAGTGCTTCGCAGAATCTACCATCGGATCGGAAACGCGACCCACTGAGAAGATCCGGCGCAAAACTCAGTGGGCTGTGTCTGTGGGTTAATTTACTCGTCGAGTCCTTCGTCGCAAGCGACGGGTTCAACGAGAACGTTAACCTGTGGTTCCGATCTGCGTCATCATTTGAACTGACTTAAATAATAAATTTTTTTTACATATTTGACCTAAATCTAAATAAATAGTAGATAATTTATATCAAAAGAAATATTAGGTCCATATTATCTTTTTTTTTATTCCGTGTAGGCAGACAGACATAGGGCCCACCTGATGGTGAGTGGTTACCGTCGCCCATGGACGCCAGCAATGCCAGGAGCAGAACCAAGCCGCTGTCTATCACACTTTAATGAAGATACGTTTTACAAAGACGGTTCATTAGGACCTGAACGGTATATTCGTTCCGTCGTCTGGTTCGTGTCGATCTTTTAGGAAGTCAAAAAAAAGAACTGCCTTCCGCTAGTCACGTCCGACCTTGTTCCATTTCTTTTCGAATTCTTGTCAAGTCTCTGTCTTAGTCTGTGTCAAGTCGTTGTAGGTCTTATGTCCAGTCAAAGAGGTTGCACGCCACGACTGGACCTATTCTTAAACATGCTAAACTTGTATATCGTCCATAGCACTCTGTCACAATTGCGCATGCTCGGTGGGGTCGCCCTTTCCTTCTACATCCACGTGGGCTATCATTGTGAAGCCGTAACAAATGCTAAAAACGTTATTCAAGAAAACGTCACTACTTCACTCAATAGCGTTGAGAGAAAACAAATTTCGCGCCTTTTATCTTCATTTATTTAATTTAAAAATAGTAGCAAGAGAGCAAGGGGCTTTAAAAGTCTTGGGAGTTCGAAACTTCACTCTATAGCGTTGAGAGAAAACAAATTTCGCGCCTTTTTATCTTCATTTATTTAATTTAAAAATAGAAGCAGGCGAGCATGTGGCCTTAAAAAGTCTTGGAGTTCATAAATTGGTACTGGTCCTTTCTATATTTATTTACTAGTGCATTCGAGTTTGAGGAGTTAGCAAACAAGATGAGGGTATTAATAGACTTGCACTAATGTACGCATCAATTATTCTATTTATTTATTATTTATCAGCCCGGGCATTCACTGCAGGACAGGTCACCTCCAAGGTTCACAACGACTGGTTCTGCACTGTCTATTTTCAGCGAATTCCCGCGCCCTTTAAAAGGGCATTCACGTTGGGAAAGGCCTGCCCGTACTAAGTCTTTGTGTATGCATGGCCACTCGAGAACTTTTTGTCTTAGTGGCCATCTGTCCTACAAGCAATATGCCCTGCCCACAGCCACTTCATGCTCGCAATCCTTAGCCCAAAGCCTATAGGTTTTATTGGCCTTGGCTCCTATGGACCCAAGTTAGCCTATAGAATTTTTAAAATGTATAATATTTCTCGAAATAAAAACCGCATGTTTGTCCTGAATTTTCTTCTTAAAAATTACATTATGATTGCAACCAAAGTTACTAACTAGACTGTTCTTTAAATTAACCATTAATTAATACAATTAGAGCAGCATTCACTCAGGTCATATGTCAGTAGATAGAATATTCTAAAGTTCCACTTTTCACTTGTGATAGTTTCCATTAAAATAATGCATCGTCATTTTATATTATTTCTAGTCGGTGATGGCCTGTACCTCTGGCATGCTGTTATGTCTGTCTGTTATGCGACAGATGGGCCCTATGCTATCACCGATAGACCCAGATAAACAGAATAGTAGGCAATACTGAATATTAAAAAAGAAAGGAAGGTGTCTAGAAATGGTCTGACTGAAGATATTTATTTATTTACATAAGTACTGCCACATCACAAACATCTAACATTGAAAATAAATTTAACTATTTAATTTATGGCCTGATGCATGTGACAACAATGGCGTACATAGCATTGGCAATTCATCGGCTCGAAAATTGAATACAACATAGACCAACAACAAAACAAAATTGAATACAACATACAACATAGACAAGATAGACCTCATCTGCTTATAGCGAAATAGACTTACACATTTACCTTAAGCAATTGGCTACTTAGCTATTTGTATGTTCTCAATCACTAAACAAAACCAGTACCTTTTTATCCACAAGTCATTTTGACACACTCCTATCTATCTCTAAATTTATACTTTGCTTGGAGTTTCTTTCATATAATAATGTTATTTCAACATTATTATGAAAATACAATAAATGAATAGAAATGGGATATTTTTGTTGGGCATTTTAAAATACAAATTTCAGTGTAAACATTTACAATAATAAAATGAAAATCATCAAACAAAAATTTTATGAAATAAAAAAACAAGAAGAAACAGAGATACTGTGCAATATTGCAATGGATATACAATCTGAGCGGGGTTGTCATCATGCAATAAACCGGTCTTAAAACTTATGCCAAATTCTGAAGCAGAATCACAAGGGGATATAAAAGGAGAGTTACTATGGTTCTACAACAAGTTTAATTGAAGCAAAATAGGTATTATGTAAAAAAATATGTTGACTCATCCCAAGTTACAAGTTAATATGGTAAATATTGCTTGACATTAGCTGATAATTATGTGTAACTATGTTCTCTGGATAAACCGGCATACTACACCCACTAATCAGCAGTTTCATACACATATGAGTGCATTATAATCCCACAGAAGGGATGGGATCATCTGGTCATTTCTGCAGCAAAGCAGTGATACATTCCGCTTTGAATGGTAGTGTATTCAAATATAATACCATTCAAAACAATCAAGCAATCGATTGTTTTGTAGTATGTTGTGGTTTATATAGTTTATTTTATTTAATATTTATTTGTATGTATGTATCTATGTATTTGTTTTGGAATTGTAATTATTACCTAGTGTTCATGTTACTCATGTCTATTGTCTACTATAATTCTTGAAATTATCGCCATGTATTAACTTTAACACAGTTACGGACTTCTTAAATCTTTCACTTCATCGACGAGGCTTAACTGGAAGAGAATGCCTGTATGGCGTTAAGTTCGCCTTTGTACAATAAAGAATTTTCATTCATTCAAAGTTCAAGTTTATGTTTAAGGAGGCATATAGTCATGTTTCTGGGCTTCGCGAACTGTTTATCACCAGGAGGGTCAAAGCTCATTTATAAGTAAATATGTAGAAAAACTTAATTATATGCTTGAAGGCTTTTTATGTTATCAAGTTTACTTTAGACAACTAATTTAACTAGAAGATAGAGAGGCTTCACATCGGCATCACATAGCTTTCTTTAAAAATCTTACTGTAAACAAAACAAAAGCAAAGGCATTCTTATAAACAAGAATTAGGTACACTTTTGAAGCCGCCTTGGCCGATTGTCTAAATTCTAAGCTCTATGTTTTTTTTTTTTTTTTTTTTTTTTCTCCTACTTATGCTCATAGGCATGAGGGGCTATATCAGCGTAACCCTAGCGTGTAGGTGAGTTCCCGGTGCACAAACCGGAGGTGTTGTTAGTACTGGTCCTAGCAAGAGCAGTGCTCTGCAGAATCTACCACCGGATCGAAAGCGCGACCCACTGATAAGATCGGGCGAGAAACTCAGTGGGCTTAAATTCTATTGACATACATGAATGCATGAATACAACTGGACGCTCCATAAAAAGTAAGGGCGGGTAGGGTTTCAACTTCTATTGAAAAAAATTAAAAAAAAATTTGGCTTACCTGCGAATATGTGAGTCTTAACGCGTACTGGGCAACTTGTGTCGTTTTCATTATGTCCGATCCAAATTATATACTGAAAAATAAAAATCCATATAGAAAACACGAATTTACAACAAAATCACTATCTTTAATAATGAAAGGAATTTAACACTTTTACATAACCTATTCACGATTCGTAACTCTTAAAACATTTAATATTATTAATAGTTATGTACCAGATAATATATAAGAAACTCGAAAGCAATGTTAATTGGACGTTATAAACGTAAGAACAAATAGAACTTTACAATATTTGAACTACGTACAGACACCCGCTGATCTTCGCGAATGAAAGAAAAATTGTCTTCTCTCGGCAGTCTTGCTCAAAGAGATGTCAAAAATCAAATCTGTCAAACATGACAGCTAGTGCTGCCATTTTTTTTTTAGTTTATGGCCTGGTATCTACCTTTAGGCCATGCTGCCATTAGCAAACCTACGAAGTAGAGATGATAAAAATGTTCAACCCTGGTCACAGAGTTAATCATAGAATGATAAGACATTCAAAGCAGTAATATACATTGCTTTACACTCGAGCGGTGTTAATAAGTGTTGACTAAAATTAAGTTACTATTGAATAATAGAGGGCAGTATACAAAGATATAGTTAAGTGGGAAAGATGCGTCTATTCATCGACAGATGGCAGTGAAAGAATAATTTCTACTTTTTTAAATAATTTATTCTGTACTTAATTTAAGATAAATCTAATAGGTAACTACTAGTGGTAAGAAATATTAAAATAAAGTAATATAAGGAGTAGGACTTATCCGTGCCGACCGACAATGCGCAAATTTTTTTAATTTTTTTGTCACGAATTACTTTTTAAATTATTTACAAACAAAAATGGTTGTATTCAATTATTTTACCATTTAATTGTATACATCTTTAATATTAGTGTTCAACTCAGAGTGTTCTCATCGAGTAAGCCAATCGTTCCGATCGTTAGATTACCAGGGAATGCCGCAGTAGCTGACCAACATACCATATACCATTGGAGGACTTCAGTGGATGTCTTCGTTTTCCTCCACATATCCGAGACGTTTGATCAGTCCCTTCAAATTTCGGACACGTTAAATCCTGTATTTGAGGTCAAATTTTCATTTGTAAAGTGGCAAGGCGAGTTGTCACAATCCATCTTAAAATGTTTTTATTGGTGGTTGGGCTTTTTGTGAGCCCGCACAAGTGGGTACCACCGTCCTAGCTATTTCTGTCGTGAAGCAGTAATGCGTTTCGGTTTCAAGGGTGGAGCAGCCGTTGTAGTGTAAAACTGAGACTTAAAACTCAGATCGAAAGATGGGTGGCGCCATTTATGTTGTTGATGTCCATGGGCTCTTAACTCAGTGAGCACTCAACACCAGGAAGACCATGAGCTCGTCCGGGTTGATGGGTCTGTGTAATAAATACATATATATAAATTTATTAAAGCCAAGCTTTATTTTGAATTCGGAACTCTTGTTTATTTTTATTTTTTATTGCTTAGATGGGTGGACGAGCTCACAGCCCACCTGGTATTAAGTGGTTACTGGAGCCCATAGAAATCCACAACGTAAATGCGCCACCCACCTTGAAATATAAGTTCTAAGGTCTCAAGTATAGTTACACACATACTTAATTTAGATTTAGAGAATAGTGGACTTTTTAGGACAAACTCGAGAATCCACATTGATGTCAAGGGGCTATTATATATTATTATTATAAGCCACGATTATTATGTTTAAATATTAAGAAACATTAAATAAATTGAAACAATTAACATCTCGTCTCTGCAAGCTGTATTGATACTGCATTGTTTTGAATGTTATTATTCATCGTTTGATCAATCATCTTCGTTAAAGGTTACGTTAAAAGTAAATATTGGCTTGACCTAAATTTAAATTAATTTTGTCTATGAACAAAATGCAGTCGTATTTTTCTTTGATGTTCGATTTTTTTTTATTTGTAGGTACTACGTTTTAGCAGAGTAAACACAATTATATAGTGTTCGACTGTAAGAGTTGTGGACTTCGACGCAATTTTTCGCGTTCCCGCCAAAAATTCTCAAAAATGTTTGTTAATGATTATAACATCTGTGGTTGATGTAGTTCATAATTAAATGTGTTCGGAAACATATCAAATGTGGTATTTATTATTTTTTAATTAGATTCGCTCAATATTTGCTTATCAAAACTTAAAATTATAATCCGAATGAAGGTTTTTTGTCGCCATGTTTGAATTTTTGGATGACGGCTTGAAAATATTAAATTCATTTATCATATCATGAAAACTTGTTATAAGGTAAACCACAATAAGCACACTGCAATGAAACGCCATGGAACCTTTTAATAATTCTTAATTACGTCCTTCTACTTCGTTACAAGTAAAATCAGGATATATCTAAAATCCAGTTAAGCGTTAAATTACACTGGTTACTAGGCTAAACACACATCACAGTTTACATTCAAGTTATCTCGTAAGATATTAACTGATAACGTTAAATAGAACGTACAGATACAACGTGATGCTGAAATTTTTATTATCGAGATACCTATGTTCGGTTTCCTTTGCTTTGGTTTTTTTTTTACATTTTACTCTATTATTTTTAATTCGTGCCAGGTCAATTCGATGGATTAGTTTGAGAGATTATTATATTATCTGTAGCATGCTTAATTGCTTTTTTGATGAAATGGTTCATTAACTTTAATAATATTATTATCTTTCATTTCAAATGTAGTATTTGGGTAGATATAGTTTTGCTATTATTTTGTTAAATTTTACCTATCAGTGGGTCGCGTTTCCGATTCAGTGTTAGATTCTGCGAAGCACTGCTATTGCTAGGGCCAGTGTTAACACGTGCGGTTTGAGCCCCTAGAGCTCACCTACACGCTATGGCAACGCTGATATAGCCTCTCAAGGCTATCAGCATAGGTAGGAAAAAAAAGTTTTAATTTGACGAGTATATGAATGCGACGAAGAACCGTCCATGCTTTGACGAATCAACTTTTTTTTTTCGCACGCAACAAGGATTTGCCAGCGGTTTCTTTTCCCATTAACTTGCGACTTGAGTTCAGTATCATGAAAAATTACCCAAACACGAAGCAATAAGAGGGACATTAGGGATCAATCGATTTAGTCTAGTATACCAAAGTCGTCTCACCCACAGATTTAAAGTAAAAAACAACTTAATTATATTTTTCCGTTACTTCCTAATTTTTTCTTTAGCTGTCCTTTTTATTCGTGTTTAAATGTGTTTTATTAAGTTTAAGATGGTCGAATTAATACGTATTTCCTTTGACAATTGAAGAAATGAGTGGATGAAGGGGTTAATTAAGTTAATTAATAATTTTTAAAATTTTAGAGTTTTTACGTTGAATGAAGGTTCTATGTGCCTATAAACCATATTAGACCTTAAAACGCTAAGATTAAAGGCTATTTCAATCCAAGGCTATAAACATTGCATGTGATGAAGGGGTTATTTACGAAGAAAAAGTACAAGTACAAACGAAAGTTTGTAAGCCCGTTTTCCAAAAATTAACAAATTCCCTTCGTCGACTCTTGTTTTCAATTATTAAAAAAGCGAAACAAGCATTACAAATAGCGACAATTAACAACGCGTACATATTTATCTAGCTCATGTGACCACACTCCACGAATATGAAAATAAGTACGTAAAACATATTTCCTAGATATGAAACTACAGTTTTCTCGCTACGCTTAGGAAACGATAAGAAAATCATTAAACACACGTCCTGGCGTCGTCTTGTGACGTAACACTTGTACTTGTATAAAATAACCGACGGGTATACGTAGTCGGCCATTTTATTTAAGACTTCAAGCGCGAGAGTCTTTGAACAAGAAAAAAACAACAATAATGATCGCTTCGCAATTCAGTGTCGGTTTTCACTGTTATAAATTAACTGAATATTAATGAGTCGTTACAATAATTAAGTCGAGTAAGATTTAGTGTTTTTTTTTTAAATTGTATGTGTGCCGATCTAGGTGACTCGCTTTTTAGCGGTCATTTTTCGTTGCCTTCTCTTTTATGGCAAAGGTATATGATTGGACGTTTGCACAGATAATTAAGCGTTGATCTCGACTGTGATTGGTCACATGATTATTAGCAGGCAGTCCCCGAAGCATCGAATTAAACACGTGATTCAAGATGGCAGACATTTTCCCAGAAAAACCATACGGAATACTACTGTAATCATATGGTAAGAATTTATTTTGGAAAACTTTTTTTTGTAATTGTTTTTATTGATCAAAATGTCTTTATAACTTTTTTAATGCTAAATTACAAGGTTACAAGAGTAGTTATAGAATTATTGTAATGGGGATAGTAGGTGTAATGTAATGTTGAATTAAAACTTCTCATTTGTACGTATCACAGTTGATTATAGCACATAGTTACGTTGTAATCCAAAAGCAAATAAAACTCGTATCTTAGATTAAAGTGCTGTATACTTACGCGATATCGTTATCAGAAAGTGCCATTTGGTCGTATACTGTTTTAACATTTCCTTTGCCTGTCCTATTTTTTTTTATTTGGTTGCGTATGCTAACGGGATTCAAAGGCGTAATGCCGCCAATGGCCACGGCCGCCATGCTTCCGAACTTCATCGAGCTGTAACTGATCTTAATTGATGTCTATGAATGTTAATCTCAGTAATTGGACTTTTTTATCTGTACTATCGTAGGTAGCGAGTGCTTCAGTTAATAGTACATAATATTCTCTAGAATATGAGCCTTGGCTATTTCCATGACGATGTCCTTGAGCGATGGTGAGCATTTGATACTCGGTGGTCTGTGGGCTTGCTTGCTTTCAAGGAAATACTGAAGACAGCAGTCTCAGAGTTTCTTCCTCTTTTGTTTTTCATTAACCATGGCAATTGACTTTTGCAATGTCATTGTTGCCAGTGTCTAGTTTATAAAAAAACTTCAATTGTTAAACATATATAAATATTCTGTTATATGAAAAATGATATGGAGTGAAATGAGATGAAGTTGATTTATTTAAGACTGATCAATTGGGATAAAATTAAATGAAACTAGGTGAGGTGCGATGGAATAAAGTGTCTGTAAAATTGTGGTTATTTACTGAGACTTAAGTGATTTTTTTTTGAAAGACCCGAGAAGAAAACATCCAGCGGCATTCTTCCTTTTTCTCACATTTCTGCACTTTCACCGATGATATACAGTTAATAAAATACATTTAAGCATGAAGTAACTCTAAATCAACAAAGTGAACGATTTACACAAGTTCGCTATTCGATTAGTTCCCGCCAAAAAATCCGAAAAAAAAAGAACACCCACA